ATTATGATATAGACGATAATGATGCGACTTTTTTCAGCTTCAATCATGTCGCTAGATTTGATGCGTGTTGATGTGGTGGTCACTAATAGTAATCCTGGGACTAGGGTTTCCTACAGGTGGGCAATATAACCTATCTGCAGACTGACTACCTGTACTAATTTCTTATCACCTCTCAGCATCATAGGCCACACAGATAAACACTGACACACCTCTACATGGTGATCTCTAGAGTATTCCACGCATCAATTACTACTGCCCTGTGCTTTAAGGAAATTTATACGGTAAATTATTTGCGCCAAGTTGTTCTGTTTGTTCGTACCGGCTTGTGACTAATGGTAGCTGTTTTTCTGTAAAATTTGCACAGTAACTGTAAACTGATTGAGCACATTTCAAAATATCATCACCTAGATTATTTCATTAACATTTCTTAAACAATGTCGGCGTTTAATCATGTGTGTGCGTCGGTGGCACAGTGGTTAGGTCTCTCGCCGACCATGCACATGGTCCGGGGTTCGAGCCCGCACCGACGCACACCTGATATCTATGGTCGGCCTGCGAAATTTGGGCTACCGATATCCATGCTGAAAATTCCATACTTGTACCGAAAATACAGTGTGGAATCAAGCTGTAAATCAAAAAATAAAAAAAAAAAAAATTACCATGCGACAAGAATATTCTACAACTGATCATCCTTTCTAGCCCATCAGGTTGTAATTATGGACCGTATGGTAATTCAGATAGTAATCCAAGAGATTAAATCGGTCGGCAATGAAACCCAATGTTCAATAAACTCCTCAGGTGTCTCCACAGAATCACGCATGGAATGCATTAAAATCTGGTTGGTGTCATTGGTTCTCTCTGCAATGACAGAGAATAATGAAACATTCTAACACATTCAAAGGCCCTCTTGGTGTTCTTGTGTATTTATTACTTTCACTTCTGCACAATACAATACAGGGCTGGAAGATTGTGGAGTGGTTGACTAACATTCAACTGTTTTAGCTTAAACCACTGTTGGTCACTTATGACATCCTCGAGGCGCTACCTTTTAGAAGGTTTCACTTCAGTTATGCATTTTAAGGGTGATGGTGGTTGGTTGCTGAGACTATGTCTCTTGCACTTTCGCCTAATTTCTCCTCAGCTCATTCGACTGATTTTGAGCAGTTTGACCTAAATAGGAGTCAGACTAGATGATTAATTGTCTCCATAGAATATAAGAACACATTTTCTCAAAAAATATATTATCACCTTCTGTGTGGATTTACCCGAGAATGGGATTCGATTTTTCTGATCAAGAGATTGCCATCCAACATCTTACCTTCCGTAGAGTGTGCTGTAGAATGACAGTTTTCCAATCATCTCAGTATACTGATGAAATGTAATCATGCAAGTGCTTATAAAGAGATACTATCTGAGGTGATAACTACCGGTTTTCTCCATCAAGGATGCTTCTCATTACCTTTCAAGTCACTGAAGATATAATGCTGGATGTGACGCTGACTGACTTCACTTGTGAAGAAAAAAATAGTTCAGTGATTTGAAGTACCCAGATTATACAATTTTACTGGCGTGTCTGTAGACAAAATTGAGAGTGTACTGAATACCGCATGGTGAAATCTTAAAGTGTTCGTCTCGCATGTGTGAAACGAAGGATGACGTCCCACAACTACCACTCATCATATATTGGGTCAAGTATAGGCAATAGGTTGACTGAATGTTATAGGCATTTCACTTATTTTGATAGTTGCGTTTGTCGCAATCCAAGTGAGTAAATCAGTTGCATCTTAGACTTACACACTATTAATTCTACAGTCAGTATGAATTTCGATTATTAACAGCATAAAACGTACCCACTGCCATCCTTCTTGTTCATGGCTCTCCCTGATTATCTGGTGTGCTCACTTCTTAATCAAGTTACAGAACAGTAACACAACCCTCTATTCCATCAAATGTAGTCAATAAATAGTACAATTTAAACATAATGAATATCCTCAGAGTCCTACGGTATCTGGAATTTAACATCGGATCTCTACCTAGTCATTCATAACTACTTTCCACTGATTAACCATGCTGACAATTTGTCATTCCTTACTAATACATAAATGTAACTCCTAATCACTTTTTAGATCCACTAAAAGAGTAAACCAAACTTGAAGAAATCAACTTACTCTGATATTCTTTAGGGCCTGATTTTTCATCTTATGCAAAAGATTTACTTTGCAGAATGTTTCTACATTTCAACGACAATTACTCGGTTCCACTGCACCAGTTATTTTACTAGAACTTTAATGATTTTCTCTGTTTTTTTAGGTATTTTGAAATTCGTTGACTTGTCCCACTTTGCATAGTTATGCATGTCTTTCCACGTAGTAAACTTTAGGTTGAATGTCAAGACAACTTTAGCCTACCTGCTGACTAACGCATGCTGGTGCCAGGTGTACACAAAAGACACAAGCTACGGATCAAGGAACAAAATACAGAGAGAAGCACAGTCAATCAAAATCATGAGAAAATATAGAAGCTGTAGGACTGCCTCAGCTAAAGGAAAATTCAGTTTTTCTCCATTTCTCTCGACGACTGGAGGCTGTGATGTTTCAATCCAACAGCTGCACATCAAACTTCTGATTTCAAGTACTATGTGGTTGCTATGGCGAAAAACCTGGTTTAATTTTTGTAGTACATTCACTCTGCAGCTAAGTAAATTTCGCCACATCTTTGCTGTGCAGCTCAACTAATACGGCGAACACTGCAATGAATGTCGTGTAGATTGACACACATGTGCTCTCCATCTTGAAATTGATAGCTTCAATAATAAATAAATAGTCTTATCCTTTTCCAGTTCACAATAATACCCAGAGAATACCTTGATCTTACTGGTTATAAGTTAGGCATGTGAAGAGACAATCAAACACTTGAAAACACTTGAATCCGAATTTTACTTACAATTAAAAGTCCCCTGAGTTTTATTCCAATCTTCCAGTTAGGTACTGATTTCAAAATATGACCCTGTTCGCAGCTCCCAGTGTCTAAACTGGAACAATCAATCATATTACCCTCCACTCTTTGGACTCTTCATTTGCCTTTGTAATGACCTGAAAAGCTTGTCAAGCTGTGTTAATACAGCCGGTTAATTTTTTTCTGGGGTGAGGTCATTAATCGATGCTTGTCGTTTTCCAAGTGGTTGTAACCCTAAAATCAGTTCTTATGACTTCGGATCTTTGTAAGTTGATATAAGTTCCACTGAATTGCGCTATTTGATTCATGTGAATAGAGGTTTCAGATGCTTTTGAAAAATTTTATTATTCGTACGTGTCTAAATAACTTCAATTGATCATTTGAAAGATCTGTCATTGCTGCAGAAATATATATCAATTTCTATGATAGACTGTTACTGAAACAGTGCAATAAAGGTAAATTACCAAAGATGGCCACATCAAATGGAGGTAGTTACATACTCAGAGGAATTCACGTTTGCGTGCTCGTGAACGTACTGCTGTTCTGCTTGGAAAACGTGTAAAAGAAAACAAATGAAGAGTGCCATTTTGTCTCATCTAGGATATAGTGAACATCTCATTCAAATAGATGAGTCATTTATGGCTGAATATTGAGTACCAAGCAGTCTACTTCACCGCACATGATAACGTATCTTATCTCTAGCGGAAGCTATGAAAATTAGTAAGAAAACACCTGGCCTCTGTGTACAAAAGAATCACATTCATCCTCTCTGTTTACCCTGGCTTAATATAAGATCAGTAGGGATAAAGTCATCCATATTTCCCAGTTATATCATGCCTTCTCATTCCTTCCCACCTAGTCCACTCTGCTCCATCACCTTATCATGTGTCAACCTTTTGTAATTTACACTAAGCTTATTATGTCTGCAGTATTTAATAACAGTTCACAATTGAAACTATCTGTTTCATCAGTACACTTGTAATCTGTCAGTCTTTGCTTCGATTTACATTCAGTGTTCCCGGATTTTCGGTATTTGTTTGTATGTGTTTATGCGAGCGGTAATCATTTACTCCCTTACCAGTGAATATAACTCACTCCCAAACCCTATTGAAACTTTTATTCCGTTGACTATGAATACATCAGGATGCCAGCCAACTGTGTATTCACACTTTATTCTATATTCTGAATAGCTGGACATTTTAAACATAAACGTTCATATGACAATATTAAATAACAAACTATCAATCCATATTATGCATGTACTCCAACAACACAGTTTCCAATTCAAATCTCACTTGCTTTTAATGGTTGTTTTTGTATTAACATTGATTTATGGACTTTCTACTATAGAGTCTAATAAAGAATTAATCGAATACAATACTGTTTGCTCAAAATCATCTTTACTTCTTTACTTGTATTCTTATCTAACAGTTGTTTTCAAATTATGTGATTACCTGTTCATTTGTGTCTAACAGATTTTTCTGAGAGTTTTTTTATTCGTATCAAACAAAGTTCATTATTTTGATTTATCGAAATTAACAACAACTTTGCTCACATATAAATTAACTCAGATAGATTTTCACCTGTTTTTTGTCACGTAGCACACTTGGTGCACACTTTGCTTCTCCGATTTCTGGGAATTGTCTGCCTTTGTCAATGATGGGTTCATCAAAAGAGGGTAAGTTCCATCTGTTTCAGCCAACATACTTTTATTTCTTATATCTGAAATTCTGTTATACAGTTGACAACATAAACTGCTGAGCTTTACTCAATGGAATGATATTTGTAAAGCTTAGATGCTACTACTCATTACGATGACATACTTTCTCTGACATCATTACGTGTTTCATTTCAACTCAGCATTCCGAGGGTTACGATTCACAAGTGTATGGCTTCCTCGATATGTCCTCCAGAAATGTAAAGCTTTATTGGTTTTCGGATAAATTTTTAAACGTTTTACTGTCAGTCATATTATATACAGTGACTGGTATCCTAATGAGACACTTTCAAAGGATCCCGCTTGGTTGGAATCATACATACACTTAGTTTTTTCGCATCGGTAAATATTGATATTTTCATTCTAAGAAGTATTCAATATCCCATGTTACACGGTATAATATGGGTGATGAAATGTCTCATAGACTTAGAGGAAAGATTATATTCGCCTGAAATTTTAGTTTATCAATATTTTTAATATCTTCATTGACATTTACACTGAGACAACCTTGACTATTATTATATCAGTGAGGACAAAATATGCTCTGGAATACTAAACCAAATAAGGGTGAGCTGGTGTCTGACTTCCAAGAGGATGTATTCATCGTGTTTTTAAACCACTGAATACCTGTAATTGTTCTAAACTTAAAAGCCTAATTCAACGTCACCAACCGAGAAACACCATTTCAAAATCGAACTGTACACGGTATAATTAGAAATGATATTTTGTCTATCAGACCAGTATCCTGGAACTTGTGTAATCATGTTATATCTTATGGAGTGTTTTGTCCTTCCTCAACAACAACCAATCTCATGCATCAGGAATGTACGCCAATCTTCATCACTATTATGTTAGGTGATTGTAGCTTCAAATATGAATGTGGCGCTAGTCAACGTTGCTGACACTCGATAAGTAGCTATCTGCAATTGACTGAAAGTTGGTAGAAACCATTCTTGTCATCATGACACCAAAATGTGAAGCATTTTGAATACCACAATAAGAGATATGACTTCCATAGACGTATCAATCGATGCTGTGAGATGCATGTTGACGCTACGTGAGTTTTGCTTTAGTCACATACAGTGGAACAACATAAACGGTGGTGATAACGTTTGACATACATCTCTACGTAAAAACCGAAATAAATACGATGACCATAAGGAGATAGCTGAAAAAGCAGTTTAGATATTCTCTGTAGTCACAATTTTAGCGACGAGATAACTTCTAAGTACCAAATTTCTCAAATATCCAAACAATATGAAGCACAATAAATGGAGGTCTTCCACCTTTCGGAAAGTTAAGTCACTAATAAATCTCCTCCTATATCTGGTAACCCCGAATCCTTTTCCTTTCTTTTCAATTTATCATGAATCATTTGAAAATGGGATCTGTCAAACGTCAAAATCATTCCACTGTCCTTGGGTGAACTGTCTGCAATAGAAGATTCAGTGAATTCAAACAACGGAATAAAAGTATGTTCATCAGTTGAATGACTTATAATTAACTTAATAACTATCAATCAGGTGCCTTTTCAAAAGAGCAGAAGACAATTTGTGTGGGAGGTAATCGATGAATTTTGAAGGCTGTTCATTCATCGCTTCCTAATTATTCAAAGATTTTTTTCATAGTCATGTTTCAGATTTCATTTGTATGGGAGATTTCCGCTGTAGTACTGCTTATGTAAGTTACACGCATACTTGTTGTTAATTTTATGCTTCGAAGTCCAAAGCTTAAGCAATGGATGATAGAATCTCGCTGGTTCCCCTGGCTGAGTGGGTATGTGTGACACATTCATTGTCAGTCCTATTTTGATATATTTCCCTAATTATTTTGAAAATTGTAATGAGTTGTATTCTAAGCGTTTACATCTCAACGAAGATAGAGAATAACTTGTTGTCAACAGTAGAGCTGTAGGTGTTGAGCTTCTCGTTTATCGAATTGATGGAGATCACCATTACTCCACTAAATTTCGGATCTATGCATAGAAATCAGTCTTGTGTTGTAGTCGACAGTCTTCGTACAAAAAGGTTAGGAAAGGCTAAGGCAGGCGAAGATATTACAAGTGGATGTTTCATAGAAGTGTTTCTCACTACCATATGACATCGTTATCCGTCTTCCATGATAGCAAAGTCAAAGGGAAACAACACAGACTAGGTCCTTGTATTTTTTCTTTTTTCCTTCACGTTCCCATTGGAATATAGGGCCTCAAGCTAGTGGCTTGAAGTCTCTGTATCAGTGTTTAATTTTACAGGATGGGGTTGCTAGCCTTCTGCCAAACCTGTCCTCTTTACCAACATTATTTCTGGCTAAGAGGTGCTTGAAGGATTGAACCCCGGACCATGTTCATGGTTGGCGAACGTCCTAATCGGTGAGCCACTGACGCACAGGTACTTTTATGCTCATATTTAATCGGTACAGTTATCAGGGATCTCAGTTTCGCTCATCAAATAAATAATGATCTGATTAATTGCGATCCCTATTATTCTCGTTTCTTTCCCCTATGTCAATTCAGATGTCTAGGGACGATTATTCAACTGCAGATACTTTTAAGACCACAAGTGCAGTTCGTGTATCCTTTCAATTACATCATCTTGACAACTTCTGTAAGTGGAGTACGTTTCGCAGTACCTAAGTATCTTAATATTTGATTTTTTTATATCTAAATATCTAAATGTATAACAAATGTTTACATTGTCCTCTTCCTAATAAATCCAAGCACAAATTACACAATATCCTCCTAACACTTGGCTGAACAGAAATGAAGCTGAAACAGCTCATTCATGCATTTTCACACAGGAAGTAAAATTGACGATATTTCAGTAATATGGGAAAATATATCAACCAAAACAAGCCGCGTGAGTGTTCAATAGCATCATCCATTGATTCATAAGATCTTCGGAATTTCGAAAAATAAACTGAAGTTATTCGTGATGAACTTTATTCAGCAAATGGAATATCGAGAAATAAGTCACATGAAACGGCGAGTGATACATCCACTCATTGAGTGCATAACAATATGCATTGAAAGGAAGCTGATACCTGAGGGGAACACTCGAATGAATTGTCACCACTGGTTCCAACGCACAATCTCCATCAGTTTATGTATAGGTTGGTCTATTGGTACTTACAATGCAAACAGATATCATGCATATGCATACATACACCTTCTCGAATAACTGTTTGAAAGTGGATACGAATTCAAATATCTAGCTTAGAACTTTAAGAAGAATCTATTCAGCATCTTAAGAACGTTTGCCACATACATTTAACTTTCACGAATAAATCCTACATACTACTCTACGTCATTTCTACTTTCTTAATGTTTACCTCTTCAGACAATCATCATTTCATTTGTCGCTGCTCTACCACTGATCAATATGGAAACCTGGATGATGCCTGTCACATGGATGATTACCATGGTCATCACAGTGATTGCAATGACTTCCAGTGCCTTCCAAAGATTTGATATGCTTAAGAGTCTGAGGAAGCTGGTATTCACCACATTCCTCGTGCAAATATTCTATTGTGTAATATTCTTCCCTTTCATTCATTTCCAACAGATCGACGTAAGTAATCAGCTGTGAGTTGCTTTTGGTAAGACGTGACTACTTTTAGTGGTGACATTTTATAAGCTTTAATGACAATTATTCGTTTCGTATTGTAACCAATCATGCAGTTATCACTTTTTGTGTGTAGCGGAATAAGGAATTCTGAAGTCTTCATTTTCACATCGTTCTGCTTATTCATATCTCAGAATATCGAAGACGTTTCGTTAGGATATTCACATTGCTTCTGTATTCAATTTACTTCATTATATCGGAGTACGTCTGATCTCGAAGCAGTAACATACAGTGCTGGAATTAATGACGACGTTTCTTTCATTTTAGAATAAACTAAGTGCATAATGCAGTCATTATGCTTTGAACTAATTGGCGAACATGAAAAAAGGCTCACCTTCGTCCTTAAGCCTAGCCGGGACATATCCACTGTACCTTGTTGCATGCAGTCATATTTAGATGGCACTATGTCTGATTACATACTTTCATTTCCTATTCCACCAGACCATTGCCGAAAAGCCTAGCCGAGACCTCGTACTGCTACTACTGAATTCGACGACGGATGACGTCGATTAGTGAAATGATTCCATAAACCAGTTGGCGGATAGATCTGTCTTCAGTAAAAAGAAGCGTGAAAATGTAGACATGGAATATCTAAACCAGTGTCGACGTTAACTTGCGTAATTTGATTGTAGGGCATGTGTGTGACATACTGGAACTTAGTAATATTCGGCAGGAATTTGTGAATGTTGTTTGCAAAGCAGAAAACAGTAGGAATATAAAATTGTGTTTATTTCATGAACGTGAAATCGGTCAAGAAAATAGTTTTCCGTATCACTAACGGACATGTGGTGACATTTTGAAGTATTTTATTCGTCAAGCTTTAAAAAGCTGACCATAGTTGTGAGTAAGTGATATTTTATAGCCTCACTGAAGTGGCCGTGAGACTGATACTCACAACTGTGAATAGCGAAGATACTTTGCTTAGCATCAACAGGTCTCACAGAAATCGCGGATAGACCTAACTCGGTGGACAATCAACTGACACTTAACATTAGCTAAAATGGTAGACACAACGAAGAAATCGCATTCCTCTTTGTATGTAGTTCGTAGTCAATCACTGATTTCACTCCTTATTCTCTTCACAGATACTCATAATTCTGAGTGGTTTCGGCATGGTGAGCACAATTATATGGGTAAGTTTATCTGTCTATCATTTAAAAATAATTTCGTGCTTTCCGAAATCAAGTGAGTTGCTTTTGCGTAAGATGCTTGGAAATCTATTGAATGAGGTAGACAACTGGACTAGTTTGCAGCACCAATATGCCTCGGTATCGCGTGTAAGGGATATAAAACTTACTTTGATTGTTCCTTTGAGCCGTAATTATTTTTCCATTTCATGCATCTCTGCTTTCAGTGTTGAAGTGAATGAAGCTGGGAGAATAGAATCATCTGTGGTGTTGTTTGAATTCTAGGGAAAGAATAGACAAACATAAGTGATTACTGAATTTCAGTGCAGTACTTGATTCGGCGGTGCTAAACTTTCTTTTCACTCCTTCGCGTTCCAATGGAACATAAGCCTTCACGTTAAAGCGTTACAGTTAAGGTGGTAGTGATTCTATTTTCACGGGGTGAGGTCGCTAGTCTCGTGCCCAACCTTCCTTTTTGGCAGGTTTGTTACCATCTAAGCGGGGTTAGGCAGTGCGCTAGCTATGCGCTGAACATCCGATCACGTAAGCTTCCGTTTCACATGGCTTTGATGGTTGAGTAGTGAAACACTCGTCCGGTGTTCGATCCTAATGCTACTGAGACTTCACAGCTCTTTTTTGAAAGCCCTGTGATCTACTGGGAACACGGAGGATAAAAATATTAATAAACGTACTAGATAGAAAGATGTAGCTACCTGAAACATCCAGTTGACTTTTAGCTGATTGACCAAATTTATTTAATCCGGAGGTAATCATCTCATTGACCTAGTCGCATGTGGATGTGAACTATTGATTAGTTAACATTCGAATGATTGGTGAACAGTTACTTATTCAACTGAATTTTCCTCTCTCTTCACATTTCTGCCAACATTCTCTGTGTTATTTAGTAGTCTCACAAAGTAATTGAATTCAACAGCAAATTCATAATTTTCTTTCTTCGCTACCCGCTGAACATAAACAGCCATTCTACACCTCTATACGGGGTCTCAACCGGAGGTTAACCATATATTCGATTGATGTCAAGGTTTGACTTGGTCATAATCAAATCTTTTTCAGTCCAGTCCTATGTCAGCTTAAATTAATCTTATCACAGCAAACATTGTTAGCATGAATTGATTTTCTTTTACTTTCAGGAGATGGCATGCGTTGTTCAAGCTGTCCTTGGTGACAGGAGTTTCACTTTTCAAGATAATCAATACATACTTTGTGCTTCGATAATTACCATGTTAATTATCTGGCTGCAGCTGATAGTTTCAACAGCGGCGGCGATCATCCTCGTGTTAATAAATAGTATGGATAATGTAAAGAGTGTTGCTCCATCAGTTACATCTATCCATACACACCTATAAAATAGATGAGATATTCATTTCAATTACGTGGTTGATGAAAACTTTCCATGTGGTAATGTTAACATTTTATTGAGAACAGTATTATTATTACATGATAAATTCACTGTGAATCTTATGTGTCTTAAATCAACTCGAAGCAAACATCGATTTCCAAAACAACTGATTTCTTAACTCACAATAAATGAAGCGAAAGCAGTATCAGTTTATCAACTGAACTCCATTCAACATAAATCAGATATCAGTCAGAAACTTTCCATACCTTTATTCCTTATTACTGAATTGATGGCTGTCTGCCAGAAGCTGGTCAAGGTGTTGCTGTGGGATGTCTTTGATTACTTCAGATTGGCTTAGCGTGCATCGTCGGGATGAGTATTAAAGGTTGCTGATTGCTTATACTACAAACTTGACAGATGAGAATGAGTTGGCATTTAGAACTATGGACTAACTATTGAACATTAGCTATCGAAATAGCAATTCGTCAAGTCCAAGTCATCATAATTTTATGAGAAGTAAAGCAAAATGGTCCAGGAAAGATAATTTCATTTATTGACGAAATCATCTTTAGGAACTGTAGCGTCGTATTTATATTTACCAAGAACGTATAGCCGTCTATTATTAAAGGGGTTGTATTGACGAATCACCAGCGCCTCCATCATAAACAAATGCCGAGACCTAATGTACTTTCTGCCATTCGGTCTGATCAAATAGATAGTCCTTAAAGAAGACTATTGATTTAACCAAGTGCTCGAGAATTGAGCTAGCAACTTTCCTGAATTTTCTTTTTATTAACCATGTCAAACAATGTTCAGAGATGCGTTTGGAAGGTGTATGCATTGTATGATCAATATAATTAACTCCACAGGATAAAAGTGAATTTATAAACACACTTTGCAGTGGACACAGTGGCAGTTTCTCCTTTACACATAAGTTGATGGTTTGTCATCTGTAGCTCAGCCTCAAAGATGGATTTCCTCAGTAATCTGTAAATGCGCTCCTTCATTTTCTCAACTGAGATGTCATCTTTAAACTCAACGTTCACAAACAAAATTTTCCTTGACACAGTGTGGGTCCTTTCGAGGCTTTGCTTTAACTTCATCTTTTTCTCCATTGACTTTGAAGGGTATGCATTTTCTATGAGGACTTGCTTGAGTCTCTCCTGTTCACCGTTTAATGTTAATCAGATTTCTCTATTTTACAAAGGAAGCCAAATATGGAAATTTGTGTGTTTAGCATTCCACGTAGGTTTCCGGTTGACGGATCTTTGAGGGAAACACCAGATACTCTCTCTAACAAAACACGTAGAAAATGAAATTCCGACTTGCCTCAGACTCCAACAGAATCGGAACTATAGTAGTTGCTGAAATCCTTGTTTATCATTCTGATGTTAGCATTCCCATCACATATGACAACAGTATCATGCATATATCTGTGCCACAAATAATTACTAAGTAGTATGTGAGTGGCCTGTATATAGATATACAATAAAAAAGATAACTTTTCATACTCAGAGTTAAACAGCCTTTCGCTGGATAAGAGAAATTCATTACCACTAGAAATAGCTCTAGGAACCGCCTTTAAAATGCCTTCAGATAGCTGAGAAAAAAATAGAGATTGAAGCGCTGAAATATTTCATATGAAACTGAATCAAGATTTTGTTGCTTCACAATTTGTATCAGAACTGAGATACCTTTGGGGCACCCATATAATAAAAGGGGATTATTGTTTTCACAGCAACTACTTCTCAGTCCACAGACTTAAGTTTTGATGCACCCAGCCTATCAGTAATGTCAGAATATTCCCTTCCATCATGTGTTCAATAGCCAAAACAGATTGACACACTACTCGTTTAGTTTAGATCCTTGAGGTTTTGTGCTCACAGGGTTTGAAATCAAGGTTTTATCAACTCCCTTAAGTGAATTTATTAGTGTATTTACTTCAACACTCAACTATCAGTCAATGGTTGGTTGTGAAAGGATAAGGCTTTCCATCTGTGTGTAGTTCTTCAACTAGCCTACATTTGAGATTTCGCTTACCTTGGCTTTGAAACTATCTGATGAAGATAAGTAAAAGAAAGAGTCGACAACAGCTTGTCTTGTATTCTATACTGTGTAGTTAATGTGATTCATTGACTTAAGAAGATATGATCGACAGTATGGAGTAAATGAAAGATAGTAGTAAATGAAAACTCCTGTTAAATAACGATTATCTGAGATTCATTATTATTCCATATTAGATAACTTTATTTTAAATATCGCGGTTTTATTCACTAGGTAACAAGGTTTCTAGTATAAATTATTGCCACTCATAACCACTAATCAGTTTTAGTTACACAGTTTCTCTTTCCCTCTCTGCACAACTTCCCTTTGTCGCTTGTTACCACCTTGCATATCTCCGATATATAAGCAGTGTAACTTGAGAATTCCCATTCAGTCATAGAAAAGAAAAGGTGTTCAGCAAAGAGTTACTCTTTTCAGCGATATCATTCTCAAGCTGTACAAATCGCCAATTTATAGTAATTTGTCTTGGCAACAAAAGGAATATTTCCAAAGATGTGTTAATGCAATTGTTAGTTTTTGACAAACAAATTACGTAATTTAGAAGGCGTTAATCGGTTAGAAACTAAAATAAGGTTACAAAAGTAGGTTGGATGACGTAATCTAATTGATCGGGTTCAATGAAAAAATGAATGAGAGTCAATTTAATAATCTGAGTAGAATTCACTTGAAAATGAATGAGGGTTAAGTTAATAAGCTGAGTAGAATTCACATAAGAATAAACGAAAATCGAGTTAGCAACAGTCCTCATGAGCGTAGAGATTTAATAGAGGGTGGGGGTAGAAAATAATGCAATTAGGAAATAGACAAACAAAGAAGAAAGAGGTAAGACAAAATTACGTATTTGGTGTTAAGATAGATCAGGACCATTGTAGATTTAGTTTGTATGCAGAGTTCAGGATTCAATATGTGAATTGCCATTGCTTCTGCAGTTTGAAGAAGTTTAATTCGTACTCTTTTGGCAAGATTCCCACGTATTGTGTAGATAACTGAGAAGTTGTTTTGTGGGTTTGCTTGGTGTCCGGATTCAATCAAGTGTTCTAGGACACAGCTGTGGCGAAGGGACCTTCTTTCTCCTTTATAAAACCATGAAGGTAAGTGTTCGCTGATTCGTTTGGATAGCAAACGCTGGGTACGGCCGACATACCTAGCTCCATATGAGCAGGTGAATTGGTTGATGCACGTTGATGAGGCCCTCAGTGGAAGCTTATCCTTCACGTTCGTTCGAATCATTGGTTTCGCAGGGTTAAGAGATAATTGTAAAATAGTTATTTTAAACGAATTTTAAATGTGAGCAGGAGAGGGCATGGAAACAAACTTAAAATAAATGTTTTTATAACTGAAAACACAAATGGCATGAATTGATTGAAGACAAAGAGAGAAGACTAGTCATGAATCAGTCTGCAAGTGAAGGACTAAATAGTGACTCTATTGAGTGAGAAGAAGAATTGTAGTTGAAGCCATCACCGTGTAATTATATCAGTTATGTAATAGGCCCCTAATCTCATTCTTAGATGTCCAACTCTCCTTTTTTGATCCGGGTCAAACTCGATGGCTTGACGTACTATGTCAGCCACTATTGAGACCGATGTAGATGTTGTCGAATTATAACTGACCTTATATGAGATGAAATGGTCACTCAACAAACTTTGATTTTTTAGCATTTCTCATCACAAATAAAATTCAGACTGGGAATCTATGGAACCTAGATATACACAGACAGATGTCTGATTCCACTGCACAGAACGCTATCACGTGTTTAAAATCAAAATTAAAGTTAATAAGTAATGACTATGTAGACTTAGTACTCTGTCAACATCAAGCTTATGAATACGATACTACATAACCTCTGTGTTTGACTGAAAAAATACTTCGCTGCCACTGGCGCAGGATTGTGTGGTTAAATAATCCTAGACGCCACTGCATTATGTACTCTATTTTGCGATTACGTTTGTGCCAGTGGAACTGATGAAAACAAGATATGAATGATAGCAGAATAGTGAAATAATATTGTTATACTATGAGTTGTCATGAAGACCAATGGGGTTAAAATGAAATCAGACTACATTAAGACAGTTCCAGTATGCAGGGTTTTAAGGAAATGAATAATAATCGAAAGCGTCAATCAACATATTTCAGTTACAGGAATGTCATCATAAATTCAGAATAGACTAATACGCATGCTTGCACTCTGATCAGCTAGTTTAACTGTTTCCTGGACAACGATGTTCATTCAACGAATTCTGATAAGATCTGGATGGCGATGGTCTCGACATACATTGGTAGGGAAGTGGTCAAAAAATGCTTCGAACCGGTGTTACAAAAACATCTACACTCATGAGCAAATCTCTTTACTCGCCAAATAAGGGAGGGAATATTGCAGTATTTGTCCACGCCCGACATACTATTGCAACATGTGAGTGGTTCTTAGTGCATTTGATCACGGCGTAGGTCTATTCGTGTGACATAACTTGTTGACTTGCGATCTGTAGTCATAACAGATATTTTCCTTAAAACACTAATCAATAATCAACTAATATCAGAGCAGGAAGAGTACACTGTGCGCTGAGTAATTGGCATATCAATAAAATAGTGACAATCTAAGACTGTAACTTAGGTGTTAATTATATCTATAATTTTATGTCATGGCGTTACGAAGACAATACTGACTGGTTAAAGTCAGTGATGAATGTAGGGGCCAGAAAGAGACAAGAGAGGTTGATGCGAAAAGAATGACACCGTACCACACTCCACAATGAAACGACATATGTGAATCAACTCACACTGGAAGAGTAATTGTAACCAAACTGAGACATGTAGGAGGTTGGTTGAACTACAGTTACAATTTCGAGTATAAATGCACAGTAACCATGTCATTCCATGGTATCCAATAAATCGTAAACCTTGATTACTGTAACACCATGGGAATTTAACGAGGTGGAGAATCTAACGCAAACAAGTTGCCCAGAATTTGAAAGGGGAAATAACATGCAAGCACTGAAGAAGCAGTGATAATTAAACATAACGAATTCTTATATAATAAAGCTAGAATGTTTTCATCCAGCTGGATCCAGTCTGTCATCTTTGTTTACTTGCGTGTTCTTTGAGGATCAAATGGCTTGAGATGTCAGTATTGATAATCAGTCTTCACACTAAAGAATCATTGCCTTGCCTACTCTCTGCATTATTGTTAGTGATGTTAGAACCAACTCGTATCATTTCAAGTGAGGTGCACGAATCAGGAGAGAGAAAGTACCCTGTCGTCAGCTCAACATTCGAGAATGAAGTTGAAACTTGCGAAGCAACATAAAACACATGAAAATTAGTCTTTATTAATTTAAATTAATTGAAACGTTATTTTTGAGCGAATGAAAATGAAGGACTTTGATATTAAATAAACAGTCAGTAAGACTGTTGAATTCGAATGTTCACCATTGAAAAACTCGTCTTAAGAGACATTCAAGTAGTAAGGTCGAATTATTGTACGCCTTATTTCAAGAGACAGATTATTCTCGCATCTCCTCTATATTCACTGCGAATTCACTATTCGCATTGTTTGATGGACTTTGTTAATTTTGT